TTCAAGCATGACATATTCTAGAGACCATTCCCAAGGCTTCTCCTTATATACAGGAAGCAGACCACATCCCAAAGGCAGCTATTCAGCTGCTTGTGGTAGATCCCACCATGGAGTTGATTACCAGTCTCATTATGGGGAATAACTACCACCAGCTGCCCAGCCACTCAACCAGGCCCAGCCAAGTTGACATAAAATTTACCACAATAACCAATATATATTTTTTGCTGGTTGTTGGTGTTGCTGCAAAATTATATTTGTCATATTCTTTACCAAAAATGTCCTTTCCTCTTGTGCATGTCTTAGTGATATAATTTATCTTGGTCAATCTGTGTGCATTTCACCCCAATAGAAACTTCGGATTATCAAAGTTAAGGATTATATACCATTTTTGTCTAGTTTTAGACATCTAAATTATACTCCCTTCCCTATGAGTAGCAAGATGATTGTGAAATAATGCCAAAACTTAAGTTACTTTACTCTTCTACGTAGGTTCCTTCAGTGTATTATAATGTATCTTATAATAAACACTGAATCTCTAGAATCTAGAGTCTAGACTCATCGAAGACCTCAAGAATGAAACAAAGATGCTAGCTATCATCATTTGACATGAAGCAGAAATAAAAGGTATAAATATAGAAGGAAAGAAACAAAAAAATCAGCAACTCTGGTAGCATGGTACCTAAGGCATGCTAACCAGAAGGGTGGCGGTTCAAACCCACCAGCCACTCCTTAAAAGGAAAATTGGGCAATCTACTTCCGTAGAGATACCGCTTCAGAAACCCAAGGAGGGATGGCTATGAGACGGCATATAACAACAACAATTGTAAAAATCCTAGGGAGTCACCTGAAATATTTTGAATCATTATTTATTGGTTAGCAGTAGGGTAAATAAACTTGCAAAAGTTAATGAAATTTGTATATAATAAGATTATTCAGATATTAAAATAGACAATAAAAATGTGTAAAATAAGGGAGAAATAATTTACCAGAATATGTGTGAACCTGAGAAGGAAAGCTCCAAGAGAAATAAAACAGGACTTGACAGAAAAATTCTAAAGTTTATCTAGAAGAATAAATAAAGTTTAATAAAAATAGGTAAAGAATAAATAAGAAAGATTTCAAAAAGAGCAATGAAAGAAACATTTTTAATACAGTTATTATCTGAATGTAGTATGTAGAACAGTCACATTTTTATATGTGGCATGTATTATGATAAAACTATGAATAAATATACACCAAATTGGAAAGCAACAGCTTCCAATACTGAACAGTAAGATCTTAGAACATACTTTGCAAAGTGTGCTTTACAGAACACTGTGGTGATGCATTTCAAAGTTAAATTTTTCAATAGTGAACTTGGGAAATTCTGCATTTAAAACAATGTTCCTTATAGTCAGACCTCTTTAAAAGAGGGGCTGTATGATATGTTTTCTTTTTTTCAATATCATGAAACCAAATTTGAACATCTTGCAGGACTTGTCTTGTTTGGAGCACACTCGGGAACTTAGAGATTTAGTTTACTTTCTTTACCTCCCACTGGACACCAAGATGTCAGTCATATTTTAAAAATATGAAATCAAGAAAATTTACTGTATCTCTAAAAGAAAGAAGTCTCCTTGAAGGGCATTATAAAGGAAAATACAAATTTGTGTGAAAATGGAGAAATTAAGATTATGAAAAACATAAGCAAAATGAAAAGATTTGGCAGAAAAATTGCTACAGAGGTCAATAAAGCAATAATTTACAAACCTTTGAAGGGAATGAATGGACTTACAAATAAATAGGCAGTGGACATAAGCAGTTCACTAAAGAAGAAATGTAATTAATACATAAATGTGGGAAAAGTTTTCAATATCAATAATCAAATGTCATAATGGAAATGCAGCTATTGACTTGCATATTATCCATAAGTTGATTGTTTTTTCTCGTTGGCAGTAATATACTTTCTACATTTGCTCTTTTAAGAAAGTCTGTAAGGTGACCAAGAAAAATCTTTCTATTGAGTAGCCAACTTTATATGTGATTTAAGCGTCACCCCACTTTAACAAGCATAATACCGATTCTGCAATTAAACGTTTCACATTCTCTTTCTCTCCTTAGTTCCCATTCTGTGATGGGTCTCACACAAAACACAATGAAGAAACTGGAGACAACGTGGGACCTCTAATCATCAAGAAAAAAGAAACTTAAATGGACAGTTGTGATGCTGCACACCAACTTGTTATGATGTTACCTAGTTGTTTAATTAGAATGAATACCACTTCTGTCTAATTCACATCCTCTGAGTTTTAGATGTGGTATATTGTAAACTGCAGCTTTCACATTCATGGCATTTGCCTTACTTGTTGAAACATCGTGGTGCACATTTGTTTAATCAAAAAAAAAGGAAAATGTAAAAAACAGCCTCATAGCCTGTGGGTTATTTTGGTCTTGTAAGGATCCATTTCTTTAAATTCAAAATAATGATATTGGAATCTAGTTTTATGTTGAAGTTAACATATTAAATTATTCTCAAAATCATGTATATGCAGACTGTACTTACAAGTTTCAAAGAAAAATTACCGTCTTTTCATATTACTTAACAGAGAAAGTTAATTAGATGTGGTTAGCTGTATTAATTTCTTAATGTTGTGTGCCATCAAATTGATTCCAACTCCTAGCGACTGTGTATAATGGAGCTGTCCCATAGGGTTTTCAAGGCTGTAATGTTTGTAAGCCAGGTCTTTTCCCTTCATGGATATGTAACTGATCCATTAAAAGAGCCTGTAGTTGAGGTTTAAAGTAATATTAGATTTAAAGTAGTCATGAAGTATGTCTTAAAATATAATATTCTGGACTTCTAGCCAGAGGAACAGTAAGCACCTTACCTGGGGACATTGAAGGAATTGGAGAAGGACACAAAATCTGGTCTCTTGCAGGCAAAGCCACATTTTCATGACATTAAGTGTAATCAACAAGACTAGATCAAAGATGTGGGGTTTTTTTGTTTTTTTTTTTTTTTTTTGGTCCACTGGCTAATTGGGTACATGACTGTTACTATTTTGGAGAGAAAAATAAGAATTGCATACTCTTTTAAATTGTATGATCTTTTTATTTAAAACAAAAATTTGAAGATAAGTGTTTGTTTATGTAATATTCTTCTTCAAAGACTTAGACCAGAAACATGGCATTCACAACTAATTCAGAAAAAAATATGAAAGCTGAAAATAATAAGGAGCAATAGAAGTGTTAGACAGGTTCAGTTCATATATTTCTAAAGAGAGATTAAGTTTTGGATTTTACAAGTTAGAAGGAAAAATATGTCAAAGTTGATAGTGTACTTCAGGTGAAACATAATTTGAAGTAGAGGAAGATACTCAAATAGGTAAAATCAAACCAGCTGCCGTCTGTTCGATTCCACTTACAGCTACCCCATTGTGTGTCACAGTAGAACTGTGCTCCACAGCATTTTTAAAACCTGTTTTTTTAGGAGTTGCTCACCAGGCCTTTCTTCCAAGGTGCCTTTGTGTGGACTTGAACCTCCAACCTTTCAGTTAGCAGCTAAGCACATTAACTGCACTACCAAAAAAAACAAACTCACTCCCATCGAGTCAGTTGTGATGCATAATGACCCCCATTGGAGTTCCAAGGTGGTAAATATGGAAGTATATTTCCCCATCTTCCTTCTGCGAAGCAGCTGGTTGGTTTGAACTGCCAGCCTTCTTAGCAGTCAAATGCCTTAGACACCATGACAACAGAGCTCGTTATTGCACCACTCAGGGACTCCTCAAATAGGTAGACATTCTTATTATTTAAGTATAATTGAACAACAAATTTACACTTGCTAAAATTCAGTTACCTTGGAACTCACAAGAATTAATGAAACTGTTGTTGTTGTGTGCCGTTGAGTCAGACCTGACCCATAGCGACCCCTCCTTGGGTTTCCTGAGGCAATATCACTATGGAAGTAAATTGCCCCATCTTCCTTCCAGGGAGTGGCTGGTGGGTTTGAACC